CCCCCTCATCCTCGTCTCTCTCGACCCATTGAGCCCCCAGCGCTCCTCCACTTTCTCTTTTCAGAGAGCGGCACTTCCAACGGGAGAGAAATGCTGCCTGAAAAATCTTCCAATGATTAAAAAAAAACAGGATTACAAAAAAAAAAAGTTTTTATATTTGGAGCATATTTGGAGCATTAGCCTTGTCCTGTCAACCAAAGCATGAGCTCAGGAGAAGCTCTGGCTTGGGATAGAAATGGCTAGCATGCTGTGTGTCACTACGCTTCCTGAAAGAGATACACTAACAGGATACAGCTACATACTTTTAAAGGGGGTAAAGGAAAAATGGCATTTGTACCTTCCTAACACACTCCACTTACAGTATACACTCAAAAAGCTAGACACATTTGCATTCTTTCTTTCACCATCCAAGTCAACATTTAAGGTATTAACTTGTTCTTTGTCATGCTATTTTATCAAAGAGGAGCTTGAGGAAATATTGAGTGCATGACATGGACAAAGAAAAGGCCAATTGTTTGTTTATATACACTTTAACCCTTCTAACCTATGATGAGTATTCCGTAAGCATTGCCTTAACCTACACCCTTCATTCAAAGAGGGGTCGAGGACTTATTTATACTCACACGGGAAGACATGAATTCAACAAAACATCTAATTTCTAGTGAAACAGAAGTTAGAGTGTGTATCGTTTTTTAAAAAATCTTTCGGATTGGATTGGACTGCTGTTAGTTGGCTTAAAATCTAGCACGATAAGGACCTACGACTCACGCAAAGTTGCAGATTGATGAATGAATGTCATGCGATAACTGTTTGAAATTGATTGGTAGTATCTTACGTATGCACACTTTTTATTGTGTTTTGATATAAAGAATACAACACTTTTTTTGCGGCATATATTGTTAAATAACTGCAGATTTTGACGGGAGTTATGAATTAAGAGCATATAAAGATATTTGTTTTCATCTCGATGTTTAGTTGTGTGGAAGAATTTGCCATTGGGGATAATTTGAGTTTCTATATTCAGTTGTCATAGTTAAGCGTTGTTAGAAGCTCAGAAGAGGCTTGCATTAGTTATGGAAAGATAACACATGTACTTGTAATTACAACTGCTCACTAAGATTAATTCATTACGGAAAATTAAGTCTGTGTGCTTACTTGCTTGGGCGATCATAGATAAGATTATAAACTGTGTGGCCCCTATGAAATGTTGTCTTTATATGTGATATTCTATTAAGCACTAACTGGCTTATATGTTATGGTTTCTCGCACATTGGTTATCACCTTTTGAACTTCAGCGATAACTAATATGGTCATTTTAAAGGGTCTGAATGTCAGTGGGCATATGCGCGTGCCCAGCCAGCCCAGGCTAAGTGCAAAGCTGTGGTGAAGGCCTCTTTTTAATAGGCTTATCTGTCAATCGGGAGTAAATTGTGAACGCTCTGCGGTGGATGTTTATGAGACCATACTGATCATCAGTTGCTCTTTTTGATTCGTCCTTCATGGGCACGAGAGCATGAAGGAGCTTATCCGTGCAGGGAAGAAGTGTATCACGTTAAGCAAGGCGCAGATGGAAGCCACTCGGAGCCCAGAGGAATCTGCGAGAAGCAAAATCATCGAGTGGGCTTGAATTTTTGGGGAGAAAAAAAATGCAAATGTGATGATTCAGTGTTTGGAGATTGGTGGATAATGCAGCGGTGATTGATGTATTTTCTTTTCCTCCTCTGATTTCTCTCAGGGGCAGAAGACGTGAGGCGCTGAAGTGTTTCTCCTCCTGGTGTGTGAATGGGTGGGGGGGTCCTGCGTGGTGGAGAATCAAGGATTGAAGTCATCACAGGTGAGTTTCTTTTTGTTTTCTTGTATGGATGGACCTGTAGAGCCCAGCAGGTGTCTGGGGTAAAAAGTTGGTGGTACTACTATTGAAGAATACATGTATGCTCTCAAATTATTGTCAGTGTAGCTTCAAAGATCTGGAGGTACAGGTTGTTAGCGGCAGGCTAGTAAAAGTCTAGTAAAAGTGCTGTTGGGTGATTCGGTGTCAAATCAGATTATCGTTTACATTTTAGATTTTGTTTGATCGTTATTTCAATGCCCGCTGACAACAAATAAGTTATATTAAATATTTTTACAACATTTTGATAATTTCATCTCTTTTTTGCCATTTAGGATAATCTTGCACCCAAGAAAAAACGTGTGTGAGACGTTTTTTGTGGTTAAATATCTAAAGAAATATAACGTTCAGAGAAAATACCGTATATGTGTTTAGGGTGCTGACAAAATATCACATAATATTTCATCTAATAAACTCATTTATAAGAGCTAGTGTGGCTGATTTGTTTGCTAGTGCTTGCGGAGGGGCCCTCTGAGTGGCTGCTTTTGGCGCAGATGGTTTTATTAGAAAGTGCAGGTTATACCAATGTTGTTTATCTTTATGTTCTGTAAATCTGAGAGCAAGAATGAAACATTTAATAATTTGAGAGCATGATGAGCTATTAACATTTGTGTTAAAGTCCCTGAGACTCAAAGGCTTTGTAAGGACTTTTTATTACCCGAGATGACTCTTGGTCTCAAATTAAACAAAGCTTGTTGCTGGAAACAGATATCTGCCTCGCCTGTCACTACAGTTGATTTAAAGACTACAACTTTGTTTGCTCGGATATGCTCTGTCCTCCGCTGTGCTTGAAAGTCTTTGGTAAACATTTGATGGTGGGCAGCAGTTTGTGTGTGGTCAGCGTCAGCTCACCTTGCAAAGCATAAGGAATTCATTAGGAGCTCCTGGGGGGGCTCTGAGTAACAAAGTGCAGAGATGTTGCGTGTGTTTATGTCTTTTGCCGGCATCCAAGTCCATAGGCAGTCTGATGAAAGTACACACACACACACACACACACACACACACACACACACACACACACACACACACACACACACACACACACATACACACACTGAATATATAAGAGTGGTTAATCTTGATTAGAGCAGTGTTAATGCTGAGAAATATGGTGCCCTGACAAACATCTGCCCGCCACACAGCTGAGTGGGATAAACCAAAGTGATTATTGTGGAAATGTCAGGCGAGGTAGACAGTGAGAGCAAATGCACGAGGGGGGGGGGGATACGACAAGAACAGGAACATGACATCAGGGCTTCACAGTCAGTTCTCAGATTTTCCCCTCTCACTGTTGACGTAAGGCTGCCTTTGCAGAGGGAAGATCTAGCTGGGTTTGATGATAGCTGGAGAGGCTGCAGTGAAAGAAATAGTGACAGACTCAAGAAGAGAAGTGTGATCTCAGAGGAGGATAGCCTTATATGATCACCAGAGATTAAGTGTGTAGGACTGTATCTGATGAGTATTGCTTAATCTATAGAATGTCGGAAAATAGTTAGTAAAAACGGAATATTACACCTTCTTTGCTCGGTCCTTAACAAAAAGAAAACCTGTTTTTTATATGTTTTGTTTAATCTTTCCATTTCACTTAAATTGTTATTTGCATTTTATCAAGGTTTATATGTTAATTTGCCAATTTATTAACCAACCAGGTCTTTAAGCGCTGAACAGTTTTTGCTAGTTTAATTTCAGTTGGCTGATGTCTGAAGGTTGCAGGGCTGGTCAGGGTAAGCCCTAATGAATAATTGCTTTCCTCTGTGAAATGTGAGGGGTGCAGACATTCTGTTAACCTCGCTTAAAGGGAAAGAAAGGGGGAGGAAGAAAAAAAATCCCCTTCCTGTCAGTGGTCTTTCTTCCTCTCTGTTCTTGTGAGATCTGGAACTGATAAGCGTGAGGCCTCTGGTAACTGAACAGGAAGGACAGAGGGCCCTGCCCCTGAGCCCCTGCCTCTGCACACATGTCCACCTCCCCTGCACCGGGAAACAAAGAGAGCACAGCCCGCCACTTAACTTCAAGTTTCAAGCTTATTTGAAGGATTATTGTCACTTGTTGGGGTGAAATCTAGTTCTGAAGGGAATTTCTGTTGAATAAAATAACAGAGAGGCATTTTAAACAACAGTCTTATGCTAAATGAATGCTTTGTAGCAGCTTCACACCCATGCACAATCACAACTCCCTTGTTCAAGTGACCAGCGTTGAGTCAAGTGGAAGTACTTTATTAAACAAGCACATGGCAGTGAGGGTTTAACATTCAACCCGAACACCCAGCGGTCTGAATGACAAGCTGTTAAACTGATAACTGTGATAGGACCGTTGTTTCTATTCTTAGATGTTTCCTGAAGCAGGTGCTTTAAACGGGGGAAGCCACAGGACAAAATGTAACATAGAGTGAAGTTTCAAACCCAAAGAGTGACTTTTGTTTGGATAAGTGGTTGAGCAGAGGTTTGATAAACGCGTTTTTATGAACTCCAAGGTATGTGACGAGTGCACTTTGCTCTTCAAACAAAAGTTCTTAGGAACTACTTTGAGGTTGTCGTGCAAACAGAGCAGCATGTGTGAAGTATTTACTGCCTGAAAACAGACATTAAAGACACGCTAGGTGTAAGATCAAGGTTATAAACAACAGATTCTCAGATGTTAATGAATGAAAATCTCCTAGGGTATACTACCAGGATATTTTTTTATATGTAAAAATGTCTGTTTGGTAATAGAAGTATTCGTAAAAGTACTTTTACAACAGACCATCAATTTTTATTTTGCTATTAAAATCACATAAGCCAGAAGGTGTATTTAAACGATGTGTAAAGAATGTCTCACATACGTTTTTGTTGTTTATGCTTAATTCCTGCCTCATTACTTTGTTTTTAAATAATTATCTTATATTGCCTTGTTTGTTGTCTGCACTTCATGTCACCATGGTCTTGAGTTAATAAAACTAAAACTAGCCAATCAACATTTGGGATGGTACTTCATCTTGCATTTATGGGCCCTTTTGTAGATGAACTCTCCTGACAGGATAGAAATCACATTTTTACTTTACATTGCATTTAGCTGACGCTTTTATCCAAAGCGACTTACAATAAGTGCATTCGACCAGGAAGATACAACCTTGAAGAAAACAGAATCATATAAGTACATCAGGTTTCATAGAGCCAAACATTTCAAGTGCTACTCAACTAGCTTTAGATAAGCCAGTCCTTTGTTAGTATATAAGTGCTTTGTTAGTAATTGTATTTCTCGAAGTGGAGTCGAAAGAGATGAGTTTTCAGTCTGCGCTGGAAGATGTGTAAGCTTTCTGCTGTCCTGATTTCAATGGGGAGCTCATTCCACCATTTTGGAGCCAGGATAGCAAACCCACGAGTTTTTGCTGATGGGAACTTGTGTCCCCCTCGAAGTGCGGGTGCAGCGAGCCGTTTGGCTGATGCAGAGCGGAGTGCACGTGCTGGGGTGTACAGTATAACCATGTCCTGGATGTAGGAAGGGACTACATGACGTGTAGAAGTTGCTACTATATAAAACAAATACCAAGCACATCATCAGAATAAACAGCTTGGGAAATAAACTGAACACCTCGTACTGATGTGAACAATGAACAACTATCCCTGGATTTAGCCCTTGAAGCTATTGTGTCACCATGACCGAGATGGTGCAGACTATTAACTCAAGGCTTCATTATTGATGTGTAGCAAGTGAATGGAAAGATGATTGCTTTTACACTACTGCCTTAGTACAAGATAGCACTAGAGCCAGGTTGACTTCCTGCTTCCATCTATTATCTTATCAGTCTGGTTTTTCCTCATGTGGAATTTCCTTATAATCACCTTTTAACAATGCCTACCTATAGCAACTTTGGGAATCAAAGGCATATCTTTTTCAGAGCTTAGGCTGTGGCGGAGATGTTCCGGGGTGGTATCCTTCCCATGAGAGAATGCGAGATAACGTGCCAGGGTGACAGCTGAATTATTAGCCCATTAGTCACCGGAGAGAGAAAGTGGTGGAAGAACATGGCATCCGTCAAGAAAGTGCCTCTTTTTGGGAGATAGCCTCTCCCTAAACGCCGCCCAGGAATCTTGTAAGTCTCTCCCACTGACCTAGGAGCCGGAGGGCCGGGGTCAGGGAGCAGAGCTGGTGCTATCCCGGTGCTCTCTTAGCTCATCATGACCCATAGGAACAGAGCAGCATAACACCGAGGCAGAACTCCATGTACCGGACTAAAAATAAACGTGGCGTCAACCCATCCTTCACATAGTCGCTTACGAATGAAGACACACATGCTCATGCTTGTATAATGCGTGCACCTGCCTTCAAAGGCGATCGCAACCACCGGTGGTAGTCGAGGACATGTCAGAACATGTGTGATTGACAGGCTGACTCAGCGGTACAACATGTATATGTTCACGGACAGATGTTCTTCGCAGCCTGCACTAATAGTCTCACTTCACGTACAGCAGGAGGAAGCCATTAAGTAACACTTGGCTCCGAGATGAACTTCCCCACTGCTTTGTGACCCTGTTGAATCTCCGAGCCTCCTTTACATATAATGCTCCTTTGTATCGGCTATCTGTCCTGCTCTACTCAAATAAAGACACTGCACTAAAAAGAGTATTGAACAAATGGTGTCGCACTTGCTTCCTTTGATGCAAAATCAAAGCTGATATCCCTTTTGACTTGCCTTCCACGGATAACTTGTCAATTTCCTGCTCATGATGAATAGCCTGAATATGCCACGCTTCATAAGCCAACATATTAATTAATGGCATGGTGCAAATTGTTTTAAGAACACTTGGCATTAAGATGCTGTCGGCTTTTGAATGGTCTACCTCAATACGACCACATTAAGAGCTTTTTTCCTGCTTGATGAATGCCACATTATGCATTTCTCTGTCTGTGAAAGCAGTAACTGTGATCTCATTAGGTCTGATACACTCTTGTTAGAGAATATAACCAAG